GAGACAGCAGTTGGTTTATTTAAGTCCCTTAATTATTTACTATCAACGCAGAAAATATCCTTGGGGAGTGTGACATGAAAAGGAAGGTTAGCCGGGCGGTGGTGGCACACGCCTTTAATCCCAGCACTTGAGAGGTAGAGCCAGGTGGATCTCTATGAGTTTGAGGCCAGCCTGGTCTACAGATTGAGATCCAGGACAGGCAACAAAACTACACAGAGAAACCCTGTCTCGAAAAACCAAAAAAAGAAAAAGAAAAAAGAAAGAAAGAAAGAAAAAGAAAAAAGAAAGAAAAGGAAGGTTAGCTTAGGCAGGTCTTATAAAAACAGGGCAATAGGGACAATGGTCTACTGCCAGGATACAGTTTCCCTAGTCACAATGACCACAAGTAGTAAGTGTCTTGTCCATGGTCATGCTATATTGGCAGTTGAGCCGCAGCCAACTCTAGGAGTGATGCTGACCATCTGGCATGTACATCTGGCTAGTGACCAGCAGACACGGCCCTGAAGCACCCTGGAGTAAGTCTTCCCAGAAGGCGGCCAAACGAAGGTGACATCATTTCAGTTGGATAAGTAGTTGTCATGTATTTTATATACCAATTGATGAAATGGGGACTATGGGGCAGCAGGTGAAACCTCTGTATTTTCCTTCCTTATGAGCTATCAAAATACTATGACAAGAATTGGCCCAGGTGGCTCTGTGCTTTAGTAATGATGATGCTTTATCTTCATTTGGTGCAATGACTCTGTGATGCTTGCGTTTACATAGCACCATGTACACACATTTCTAATCATCACATTCATGAGGTGAGGATCAAAGGAGCTTTCAGGTAAGGGAATGGTTGGAGATAGTCACCACTGTGTGGAACACGTGGAACACAAGGAAAGACTTACCCCAAGATGAAGAAATAGCAGTGGAGATATACTTACTGTCTCTTGTCTGAACACTTTCCCAGATCCCTGTCATTTGTATGGGTCAGTTATGCTTGAGTTACTGAAATAACTGCATACTTAAGAAAGATGTCTAACTGGATGTATGCAGGAAAATACTATTTGCTTGAAAACACCTTACCCTGGTTGTTTATGGACCACACACATCCATGGTCTACAGGGGACTTGGCTGTCATTTGTTCGCAATGCCAATAACAAACACCAGAGAGAGAAAATGCATCTCTCTGGTGTGTCCCTCCAGCCTATCAGTAAATCTACCACCAAGAAACGATGGGCACACCCGTTGAGTTAGTTGGGGAGCAGGCAACCATCCTTGATGCTAAAATCCATAGAACGTCAGTCATGTCTTATTGTTAATGACTTCTGCTATGTGACATTTAGGGTCAGTTTTAGCAAAGAAAATGTGCCATGAGATTGCGCATCTTCCAACCCATTAAGCGAATGCTGCATTGAAAACACTGAGAAGAAAACTAGATCCACCAGCCTTTAAAATGTGACCTGTGGGATTCAGAGACGTTCTGCAGCTGCTCCATCAGGATCCCACCTCCCCTGCTTCACAAAGGGTTCCATATTTCACCAGTAATAAAACTTTATTAGTAACATGTCAAATACGTTGTAAAATACAGTTACCCTTCTTCTTCCTCTGAGCTTAAAAAAGCAATCCAATCAAAACTTTAAACCATGACCCAAATATGTTTAAATGCGAAAAAGACATATTTTAGGTTATGTAACAGACACACATTTTCCCCCAAATAAATGTTGTAGAAAGGCCATCTGCTCCAAATCTGGGTGCGTTCCCACAGAGCCACGCTTCTGCTGCTCTCCCATCATTAATGGGTTATTACGACACTGTATTTCACAATAGCGATACCAAAACGCATGACCAGAAGAGAGCTTGATGAAAACACATGGCATGCTCCAACCAGACAGCTTACGCAATTCCTCATTTACTGATCCTCCATCCCTTTACTGTGACCTCCCAACCTGAGGAGAAAGGGGGGATCCCTGGCAGGGGCAGGACCTTGTATAGAGGAGAGCTCAAATAGAGTTCAAGACAAAGGGGTGAAGAAAGCAGCCCAAGGTCATTTTCTAGCCAACCTCTCCAACCCAGCACCCCCAGATTCCTAGGTTTATAGGCTATTTTGTACTATTTTGTACTAATTCTTGTTAGCTCTGGAATAGTTTATACTTGCTCCTGTGTTATCAAGTGGAGCATCCCTAATTCCAGGGTGACTGAGGGAAGAGATTCCCCTGGCTGATAAGGATGGGACAGAACTCTACCTTTGCTCCTCTTACGCACTTGGTTTGGATCTGGTCTTCTAACTCAGGAAATCAATTTCCATGCATGTTATGCTGGTTTATATTTGTGACTATTTTGAACAAACGGTTTTACGACTCTATGATGTTTATTTGTGCTATTTCTTCTCTCTTTTTTCCCCTTGAGACAGGATCATCACATGTAGCCTAGGCTGATTTCAAACTCACTGTATAGCTGAGGAAGACCTTGCCCTCCTGACCCTCTTGCCTCTAATGGAATTGCTGTAACACTACACCTACTTTTATTTAGTATTTCTTAAAAGAAAAAAAAACTTGCTATGAAAAATAGGCATGGACATTCACATGTAGGCTTGCATTTGTGGTTTCATCCTAAAATTACAAATAACCATTTTACTCAAAAATGCACTCACTAAAAATACTGAAAATTGAAGACTTAGGGTCCCATTAAAGACCTACAAAGAAGAATATGCACTATTAACACGACCACTGGGGAACAGAATGTCCAAAGGGACTTTAGAAGTGCCAATGCAGAGGAATGTTCATAACTCAGTCAACTATATAACGTAAGCCTTAAGGAAAAACAGGAGTATCTTCATGTGGAAATTTTGTCCCAAAATTTCAACCAGGAATGTAACAATTTTTAGACATGACTCACTTTAAAAATAAAAAATGGCACTTGTCATGTTGCTAATATATAGTAATAAAGTTTAAGAATAAGAATATTTAAGTTAAATCAACATATATTACATAAAGTACTTGAATTAATTATATACAATCTTTGTTTCCAATACAGGAATTTTCTTAGCAAAACATGACTGTTACACTGAATTTTAGAAACAAGAATACTACCTTAACTCACAAGTACTCAGTGACCAAGTATGGTCATTTAAAAAAAAAATGTGTCCAACAAATAACATTACTGTGAATGGATTCCAGTTTGATAAACTCTGGAGCCCTTTCTCAAAGGAATTCAGCCAGAATTTTAAGCTGCTATCCTCCTATGAGTATCAATGGGAAGATCAGTGTCTGTGTGAGAAAGGATGGACAGAAGAAAACTGGGGACCAGGGACACAGCTGCGATTCAGAGAGGCAGCTCATGGGGCAGACAGAAGATGGCTTCAGCAGCAGGTGTTGAGAAGTCCCCATTTCCATTTATAACACATGACAAATGAACAAAACCTGTCTCTCTGGCTTTAACTCATGCCAGACCCAGCTTTTAGGCTATAAGCTACCCATTAGGGTTGTCCTTTATGGCTTTCCTCGACATTAATATTAACCTGATTTGCCCCGTAAAAGAAGCTAGAGAGATGGAGGGATTGTTATGTACTTGAGTTTGTCTTCCCAGCATCTCCTGAGGAGACATCCCAGAGATGAGTGCAGACCAGCCTCATTTCCCCAGGCAATGGAGGCATCCTATGCTTCCAAGCACAAAATACCGCTGTGGAGCACAGAGTGTGCATCCCTTTGATGTCTGCTCTGCATTTACTTAAACTCTCCTCTTCCCGGTGCATCTTTTGCAAAAGCAAACACTTTTGGAGAAAGATGTTGGATAACCATTATCTCAGTTCTCTTCAGGGAAACTGAGCAAAGTGACTGTGTATCACTCGGGTCACACCCCCTGCTCGGGCACCATGTTCAACCCTAAGAGTGGTTCTGCACTTCCGCACAAGTCTCCTACCAGCAACCCGCTTAATCTTGAGAGGTGCATTGCAAACAGGTCATGCATTTGAGCATACACATTTGCACACAACCTCAGGGTGTCGTATCTCCTCCAGCGGTCTTTGCTGTTTTTCCTTCACTGGTCTGCCCAGAGTCCAGTTTCAGCAGTATGTTGTAGCAATCCCATGCTTCAACTCTCATCTGTGCTGAATAGAATCTAATGTTAAGCATCGTTGCTGAATGAAAGAGAAGATCGATCCATTCAGATAGCAGGTGCTTTATGTACAGTGGACACAGGAAAGAAAAAAAACGAATGCAGCAAACAAGCAATCCCTCACATGAAACAGTTTGCTCATTCACTTACGAGTCCTGCCTGCTGCTGCTGCTGCTCTCCCAGTCCTCTTTTTCTCTCTTCATTTTTCTCATCTCCTTTTGTGTCCTTGTATTCTGCTTTACCAGGCGTGTGTGTGTGTGTGTGTGTGTGTGTGTGTGTGTGTGTGTGTGTGTGTGTTTGTGTGTGTGTGTGTGTATGTGTGTGTGTGTGTGCATATCTGTGTGTCTGTGTCTCTACCTCTCTTTCTTGTGTGTATGTAAATCTGTATATCTCTGGGTGTGTGTGTGTGTGTGTGTGTGTGTGTGTGTGTGTGTGTAAATCTATGTATATCTGTATGTGTCTGTGTGTGTGCATGCAGGCCTGCATGTGCATGCATTCATGTGTGTGTGCACACACGTGTGTATGTGTGCGTGTGTGTGCGTGTGTGCATGTGTGTGTTTGTGTGTGTGTATGTATGTGTTCTTTTGGGCCAGGGTATCTTTATGGTGCCTGCAGGAATCAGCAGTACAATACATATACTCAGATTTCTCATCCCAGCTTCCCTACCCTAAGGATGGTTTCTGTCACCAGAGAAAGGATGCCTAAAGTCAGAAGAGCTATAACTGGTGTTGGCACCATCCATAGTGGAACATACAGAAGTCACGAGCAGAGCAAACATGGATGGAATCTCCCTGTATCCCAGCTGGTCCTGGTAAAATCACAATCATCCACTGGCTAGCTTGGGCAAGTCTGCAGAATTTAAATACAAGTTTAAAACAAAAATCAAGATAACACTTGTCAAATCCTTATCTATGAGCAGTTTATTGGGGGAAATTATTTGCACTAAAAGGTATTTTTAAATAATTCGTTTTTAAATCAATGCATATTTAAATAAAAGTAGAATCACAAATACCACTGGCTTCTAAGACAGCTTATATAAGAATGTGTAGATCAAAGCGCTCCGGTAATGATGTCTTGAAATAAAATGAATTTTTACATCTGTTACTGGTTCTTTGTCCCAGAGTTCTGGCTTTGATTAAGGTTTCTGACATACAGGAAATATTACAAATTTACACTTTCTTGATGATTTTTTTTCTCTTCTATCCCCAAATATGTGTATTTCTATATTTAACCAATTTTAACATGTGTTTTTTTAAAAATGTCATACCGGTTAGCATTGGTGGCCTCTTCCTAGAGGGGCTATTGTAAGTCATGCCAGGTGTTCTTTCAGTAACAATTTAAAAGTCATCAGATAACTGATTCCATTTTTAGACTTATGATGGCATAATTATCCTATCAAATTTGGAGTTTGGGACTAGACTCATTTTTAAATAAATCTATATTTTTGGAAGGAGTTTTCTGAGAAATGGGGTCTTCCATAAGCAATGAAATAAAACTATTAAACTTTTGTGCCAAATCTTACTCTCCAACTAATTTTTAAATATTCCTATATGGATTTCAAAGGCATCTCGCCGATCACACTAACTTGTCTGTATGCCTTTGCCTCTTATTACACATTGTACTTTATTCTAAAGCACTTTTCATAATGTTCATTGAGCAATTAAATATAAACTCAACACTTGGACCTATTGTGTATCTTGGTAGTCTTGCACAGCGCAATCTGGTTAGAGAGCCCATGTCCTTAGTGCAAAATCACCTTGGTGATTTGTCATAGGGACCAAATGTGGTACCAAAAATAAAAGCAAAGGAAGATGCAGCCAGCCTGGTTACAAGGCAGCTCTTCAGCTAGGGATGACACTGTGCTGACAGTTGCCATATTTGCATTACGAAAGCTTGATATCTGAATTTAGCATCCTATTCCTGTGGGCCATCATTCTGAACAAAGCACTAGGAAGCACACCAGTAAACGAGTCGTTATGAAGCCCTTAACAATGTTTCCACATTACCCATGCAGTCCTTGGATCAGAACCTTGTCTTGGCTGGCCTTCACTATCATAGTCTCCCTAACACTCATCTTTGAGTCTTTGGTATTTTCTTGATACACCTTTGGCACCTAGTTTTCCCAATCTGTTTTTATCAATAACAGTTCTTTAAATGAAATACTCCACAGGACAAAAGCTTCAGACCCTGAGGTCAGACGTCTCACTCACACCTCCAGAACACGATGAATCACTCCCAACAACTTCATAAACCTATCCAACGTGTTACATCTTCACCCTTAGAACTGTAAAACGTAAGAACTTATCCACATCTCTCCCCAAAGGCATTCTCAGACATTTTGTGACGTGGTAAGTGATCGACTACTGTTCAAAAATCAGTGCAGTGTTTCATCCCGGTACCTTCCGTGAGCTCTTAGCGGGATGAAGAAATAACAACACGTCTAAATTCTATTATTCTCGCCAACTTTCCAGAGCAGGTTTTTTAAAAAAAATTATTATCCTATTAAAAACATATTTTGCCTGCCTACCCTTTCCTGAGCTTCACAGCCTATAAAAAAAAAAGTAAGATCATAAATAAAATTTAAACTCTTAAAGGCCCAGCACAAATTTTAACCAACCCATACAACTTAAAGATGATCCTATATGCGATGCTTATCTATTACATTTCATTCTTAAAGAGAAAGTCTGTTTAGATTAAGAATAATCAACAAAAAGAAGAAAGTGGATGAGCTTGGGGTAACCCAGTTGCTACACTGAGCAAGGAAGCTTCAGTATATGCTATGCTGGCCCCATCTTTAACACATGGTTAAAGGATACTAACGACAAACCATTTGGCACAGTGTTTGACAAGTCAAAGAATTTCTGAAAGGACAGAACTTTCACTGTGTAAATAAAATTAGATTAATTCTACCCCTCATCCTCAGGGCCACAGCATTATCAATTATATATATATATATATATATATATATATATATATATATATATATATATATATATACTTTCAATAAGAGTGGCAGAATTTAAGTGGGGGGGGTGACTTAAGAATTTTAACCTAACAGATTGACTAGAGATCAATCTCTTCCTATCTCAAAAAACAAATTAAAAAAACCTTTTTCTCCTAATGTATCAATTCACTGCTTTATGATAAAGTGGGTATATTTTCCATTCAACAAGATGGCACTAAGGATTGCTGGGTAATACCCATGGTTCTCTCCCCTCGGTTCGGCATGCATCTCATCACTGAGATCAAGTGCACTGGCAATTAGTGTCTTATATTAACATCTTCACTATAAACAGTTCAGGCATGTAGAAACAAAATATCAATGAACTTAACAGTTACTTTAATTCATTTTATAAATAAGCAACTGAGAATTTTGCTCCAAGTGGTCACCAGTGTAGCCCATCCCGTAGATGGGGTTCTCCGAAGTATAAGGCACAATGTGGTAGGAATGCAGCTCTTCATAGTAGAGAGACTGGGAACAGCACTCCTGTACCATAAACTTCAGCCGTTTTCTTGTATCCGAATAAGCAGTCTTATAGGAGGGAGATTCCTTAAAGTATTCATAGCTCTCTTTCTCCGTCTCTAGGTGTATCTTCCTCAGCAAATTGTTAATTAACACAGACCTTCTTAAGTAGGTTTCTGGGTCTTCAAGAAACCTGAGCTTCTCCAGGGAAAGCTTGAGGATACAGGTCCTGTCTTCGGGTAATATCAAGTGCTAGGGAGCAAATAGAGCCATTACTCTCCACACAGAGAAAAATGCTAGAGCTTTGTGCTATCAATGACATTGGGGTGGGGAGAGACTGGGAGAAACGCAAATCCTTACTTTTGGAAAACACCCATGGTAATCTTGATGTAAATCTTCTTCTTCTGCATATTTCCTCTTAAAGTAGGCTACTTTCGACGTTGTTAATGAATAGGATGGTACTTCTCTTGGATAAGCTAAAACAAACAAAAGATGATTGGAGAAAGATCAGGTGGCATTGTGGCAAAGAGAGTTTCAGCACATGGAGACCATTTGTTAGCAACATTCTAGTGACCCCAGAGATTGCTACCTCCTCAGCATTACTGTGGTTGGCAATTGTCTTATGACTGAAGTGCCTGTTGGCAGAAAAATGCCATCATTTAGACCCAAAATAGATAGTTGCATTTAGAGTTCTATGTTCATTTCCTTATGCAGCCCCAGAAATCAAATTCAAGCACGGTTTAATCTCGTGCTTTTTGTGTGTGCCAAAATATACCCAAATGTGAAATTGATACACAGAATATAGTGGAACGGGTTAAGTAATTTTCCACCATTCTTTTTGCTAATCTTCCCAATACTCTGGGAAAGTTAAAACTTCTAGGGTAATCAAAATGACGTAAAACAGTTGGTGGCCCAATCATGCCTTTAAAAATAGTGGTATGATTCCTAACAGCAATCTAAACAACTGTCCTTACACCCACAGAGAAATGTAGTCTTCACTCCACATCAAGGAAGCTTCTTTTTGTAGCAGGCAAAGACCACACAGAAAATCACGACCAAACAAAATGCAGAGTTGTGGAGCCCAGCCCCAGTGGACATGTCTACAAAACACTCCCTCGCCCAAAGTTCAGGGAACTTTGCTGAAGAGGGGGCAGAAAGAGTGTAAGAGCCAGAGGGTCAGGGAGTTTGCTGTGAGATTGGGTCTCCTAGTAACATCAGAAGCTACAACCCGTAAAGACTCACCAACATGACCACCCAAACAAGAGCTAAACAAGGATGGACATTTCAGATTGGACAGGAAAAAGCCCAAGAGGCCTCGACTTTAAACAAAGAGCTACAGGTGACTGAGGAGAGCTGGGAGTGGGAGAGGAGGCCCTCCCTGGGGAAGAGAACACCAAGTTTTTGCTCAGTGCCAAATGGTCAGCCCTAAAAACATACATACAAGTAACATCATACGGACTAAACAGGTTATAGATAGGAATACACAAATACGTATAAGTATGCAGTAACAACTGAGAAAAAGAGAGGCCATGAATTTGAAGGAGAGCAGGAAGGGTATTTGCACTTGGAAGAGTTAGAGGGAGGAAAGGGAAGGGAGCAATGTTATAATTAAAATGCAATTTCAAAAAGAAGCAACAAAATTAATTAATTAATTAACATAAGTCTATATCTTCAGACAAAACCATTTTACATGATTATGTTTTAACCATCGTCCTGACATTTGGCATAATTGAGGTTAATCATGAGGAACCGGAAGAGAATGGATAACATAATTGACTTTAGCGTAATGTGTGTGAGTAGAAACCTTTGTTTTCTCCTTGAAAATGCTACTGCCACTGAGGATTCTGACTCAAGGAAAACCGGTTCTCAGAGATCTGCAAAGGGGCCCCAGGATGTACTCTAGGTGGCACTGTGACCACAGAAAGGTAGCAAGATCAAAATTCCAATACAGGGGCTTCCAATTCAAAGCAGAGTGAACGTACAAAACAGAGTCCAGTTTGATATTCATTCAAGCTCCAGGGTCCAGAGCATGTTCTCATTCTTCACCCTAACCCGTACCCTCACATATTTCTGTGTTAGAACCACTTGATTCACAAAATAATGAGTACATAAAGACGTGTAGGTTAAATAAATTTATACTTGGGCATTTGGTGCTTTTCCTCTAAAATGTAGAGCTTTAATGAGCGCAAGTATTAAAAATATGCTCTTCGATAACCTGCTTTCTGTAGTGTTTTCTTCATCTTGGAGGCATGTGTATATAACTTTCACATGGCTCTCCTGTTGCTGGAGGGGTTCTCCTGAGCCAGCAGGGAAAGCTACAGGCCTTACCTCAAGTACCCCAAATTCTCCCTGGTGTTACTGTGGGTTATAAATCCAAAAGAGCCTTAAGTTAGCATGGGTATGTCTTACTAAAGAATCCAAGATTCAAAGAACTTGTGTATCCCACCTAAAAGAGACCAGTGATCAGGAATCAGTAGTTGAGGCTCCACGCTCACAGTTCCTGAACTCAATAAACAAAGCACAGCTTATGTAGATTTTTCACTGGTTTAAAAGGGTTAGGGAAAAAGAACGATACTGATCAAATGAAACCATCACCAAACCCAATTTTCTCTGGGCATTTTTTGTTCATTTGTTTTTCGTTTTTAAGATAATGGAACTGTTAGGGTCACTTTGAAAGCTATTAACCAAATAACTAGATAACAAAACTTTAGTTTATCCCTTGTGATAATGACTCCTACATGCATGTATGTGCATGTGTGTGTGTGTGTGTGTGGTGTATGCCTGTGTATATGTGTTCCTGTTTGTACACATCTACATAAGGTGTGTGTGCAAACGGAGGTCGACACGGATTTTTCTCCCACAATTAATCTCCACATTACTTATTTGAGAAGGGGTCTCTCACTGAACTTAGATTCACAAAATGGCGAGACTAGCTAGCCAGGAAGCCCTAGGGACTCTTGCCCTCACCGTCTTAGCATTCAGGTTACAGGTCCTGGCTGCAGCCTGGCTTTTACATGGGTGCTTGGGATCCAAAACTCAGGTATTGATGCTCATACAGCAAGCGATTTACATGCTGAGCCAGCAAGTCCCCAGCCCCTATTCCTACTTTTTAATTAACTCTAACTAATTGATGTAATAGTGGTTCTCAAATGCTAACAAGCATCAGAATCCCTTGTAGGGCTCCTTGACACAAACTGCTGGGCCTCTCTACCTTTTCAGTGGGTCCAGAGGGGAAAATTTGTACTTTTACCCGATTTCCAAATGAGATCCATGTCAGCTAGCCTGGGCCACATTTTGAGAACTTGAGTGCTACAGCACCAGGCACCTGTACTAGTAGGCAATAAAAGTTGAATGAGCCCATCAGCTGATAGCCAAGCAAATGGGGTTGATTGATTTTGTCATTGTGGCTATTGCTCCCCTTTATCAGCTTGGGTTCGCTTTTTTTTTTTTTAAGCATCATGAGCAAAGCCAGCTCACATTTTAATTACACAGTAAAAAAATGAAGTCCATTTTCAACAAGACTCCCGGGGATCATCTTAAGAGGCGTCAATGCCTGTTACTAGCATTGGTGCTTAGGAAGGTCATAACCTTTCCTGGCAAGACCTAGCGAGTAACTCTAGTGAGGGGTAGAGTGAGGAAAGACTGGGAAATAGGAAGCATAACTTTGCCATAAGCAACATTGTTTTTAATCTACGTATGTGCCCTTTATTAAATATTGGCTTGCTTTATCGTCTTAAGTAACAGAACTTAATGGAACATTTGTAGCCAGTTAAAAGGCCATTCGTGGCACAGTGGAAGACAATGTGTCAGACTTAACTGCTCTGCCTCCCACTCCCAAGAGGTCATCCAGGAACGCTAAGGATTCTGGGTGGCTGTATTCCAGAAATTAGCCTCAGCTACAGACTGCATCAGCCCTAGAAAACACAGAGCGAATACTCAGAGGTCTAGACCTGAACCAGCTCCTCCCTGGGCAGGGCTCTCAGTCAGTTTATTGTTCTTGAGGAAACACCCCCAGTGCTGGCTGCTGAATGACTGAGCAGCTCTCACAGCTGCTGTCAGCTTGGCAATCCCCTCCAAGCTAGCTGCCTGGCTCCTCGCAATGTTTTCCACATCACTCTTTGGAAGATGGTTTTAGCCACTTTGAGGCTAAAGGATGCAGCAAACGTAAGTTGCTACATCTGTTGACTTGCTGGATAAAAACTCAAAAGCTTCAGAGCTGGCAGCTACGTATTGATCATGCCTGAAGTCTGCCTCTTCTAAGTGCAGACTAGGAAACCACAGCCCAGAAGAGAGTCTAGTTGACAGCCAGTTGGTGTGGCTAAGAGTTGGGGGTCTAGAAGTGGGGTGGGGGGAGGTGTAGGTTTACTCTCCAGATCTATTGTTTCTTAGTTGTGTGGTTTTAAACAAATTACCTAGACGCGTTACAAATCTCATTTGTCCAGTGGGGTTAGAAAGACCCTGGATCCTGTGGTTATGCAAAGTAGCATCACACCTAATATATGGTAAGCCCCGTACCAAATCATAATAATGAGTGCCAATAGACGGAGACCAGTCACACAAAAGCCAAGCCCACCCCACCCTGCTAGCTCAGACCTAAAGACCATTCCCACCACCCAGCCACACAGAGAGGATAGTTATTGGTTGGTTGAAAGCTGCCCAGAAGGCAGCTCAGATGGTCAAGTTGACAGGTATTACACAGAACCCACAATCTCTCTGAGAACGTGTTTCTGGTGTATTCCTATGGGTCATGCATTTGGGGCTAAAGGAAAAGCGAACTGTCTATGAAACATTTATCTAATCTTCTGGATGATTCATCAGTGTTGATCCGAATGCCCAAAGATGTGCACTTGCTATGATTGAGTGGACAAGAATAAATGTGCTGCTGTTCCTGCCACCAAAAAGCTTGCAATTCACCTAAAATCCAATGAAATAAACAAGAGCAAAGTGACTATATGCCTTTAGAGTCAGCACTCTGAGTTCTGAGAATAGTATACAAATTACAAAATGGAATTGAGCTGAGCTGGAATTTATCTCTGAAGTAAAACAGCTAATGCTGGTTTGATCATTAAAATTATTTTTAATGTTGTAACCTCTGGGTCACACACAACGTCTGTGCCAGGCCCCAAGCATGCCACAGTGTTAAGAGCTCAGCAAGTAACACACCAAACACCACAGATCAGAGTGACCCACCTGTCACGAGAGCTCTGGCAGGGCAATTCATACATATGTCTTTAAATAAATGCTTAAAATGCAATTACAAACGATTGCTTCCTTATTGTCCTGCATTTGCCTCCAGGCAACTGGAATCCTGTTAGCATTCAAGTGATTTCATTTGGTAGGAGGCCCAGGGACAGTACATTAAGGTAACATCATCAGCAAATTAATTTATAAACACGTTGAAAGGGCAGACAACAGTAAAAGAACACCCCACCTAAGTGATTTTTTTTTTTTTTAGGTCAAAGGAGAAACCTGAGAAAGAGTAAAGAGCCACTGTGTTTAGTACTATCATCTTCGTAGTTTTTACTTTTCCCCAACATTTTAACCAACACCGGCCATCTGGTTAGAGGTGTGCATCCTAGCTACAGACAGAAGGGGCGGAGGCTGATCTTCAGGGAAAGTGAGTGCTGTACCAGACCAGCAGCCGGTGTCTGTCATAGACAAAGCATGGCCTTATCAGTTCCTCGTTTGTGATGTGAGCCAGGCATTGGCCTTTGAAAATATCAGCATTCTGTCCGTCTAAACCACGCTTAACTGATAGGAAAACTATCAGTTTTCATCTTAAAGGCTATAAATACATTTGCTTGGAATTATCTAATCGAGGGCTGGTGATGTAACTCTGTTACTTGGTGGTAGAGCATTCACCTGGCATGCACAGGACTTGGGTTCAATCCTCAATGTAGCCAGGAAAAAAAAAACACAAAACAGAAATAATAACAACAACAATGGCAAAGAGAACCATCTCCTCTGACCCTGCTAGCCATGTTCTGCCATCTCGCTGCATGGCTTAAAGCATTCCGCCGTGACAAACCCCAGCTCTGTGATTTGTTTCCTGTCTTCAGGACATAACCTGAAAGAGCCTGAGTTTTTTTTCATGGGGGCTGGGGACAATTTCCAATTCACTGATTTTCATGTCATTTAGTTGAGATGGTGCTTTAAAAGCATTTTCTTCTATGTCTGTCACACACACTCATAATTTCAGCTCAATCACTGCTATGTATCATTATTGCAATGACCCCTTTTCAAACCATGAATATACATCCTACTCAGAAGCATCATGTTCTGTGTAGGATATTTGTGCCCTCACTGGTGTGAAGCACAGGGTTACATAAAACATTCATGAGTGTGTTCACAAAGGCAGACGGGAACAAAGTCCAAGGCTGTACTGGCTTGCTTTCCGTGGACATACAGCTTTGTTGATACCTGACAGTACTTCTTCAGGTAAGTATCTTCCTTCTGTCAACACCCCACGTACCCAGCACCCTTCTGCCTGATACGCTCTATGGTAGCAGAACTCAGTGTCCGTGTTTAGCTCTGGATCAATGAGGCAATCTGTTTCTTCAGATCTACCATCTATTCCAAGCACAATATTGACTTTATTGTCAGTTTCCGATTAGCAACAAGTTGCAGATTCTGGAAGGCTTTCTTAGGAACTTCCAGAGATACTGATGGCCAGTGATTTCTTAAGAGAGCAGCGGCATTGTCTGGCTTGAGATTCCTGGTCCCCTGGCATAGTCCCAAGCACAGAAGTGGACTATTGAACAGAGCATCCGAAGTCCCACAAACCCATCTTGTTCTACTGGTCACTGAACCAGAGAGAACACCATTAAACAAGAGGTGACCAGCCAGGCAATAAGGAAGCTATGCTGCTGCAGCACAGCCCACTTCTCCAAGAAGCTAGCCAATGGCAATGGCAGAGGCTAACCAAAAGGTATGAGTTTTGAGAGTACCCCTTGTGACTTAACACTCTCTAGGGGATTGGTGCCCCCATTCCCTGCAACCTGAACCTTAGAATGTGGGACTGACAGAGAAAAATTGGCCAAGCAACTACATTTCCTGATATGGCTTCCAAAAATCATCCCACCAATAATATCTAGAGAGAGATTTTAACTCCTGTGGGTACTACCTAGGGTCAGCGCTTGGAGAGGAGAGTTTTGATCTCTGACCTGAGGGCAACAGAGGCCTTTTAGAGAGTCCTAATCAGTATCATCCACATGCTCTTTTGTTTGTATTATCATCCATCATCATCATATTTTATTTGGGTGTATCAACAAAGCACCCCAAGGCCAGATTTACTTCTGTTGTCCAAGAAGGTTTTGTGTAAGACTCAAGTCAGAACCACCACTCGCTTCTCCAGGAACCCTGGCTCTGGTGTTGAGATGGTCTGCCTTCAGCTTTTGTGCTGTCTGATTGGTATTCCCAACTAAAGATCCTCTAGCAAGAAAATTATCTGCAGCAGTGGGGTGCCTTCCTTCTACAGGCGTGGGGCATCCTCGAAATGCACTGTACTCAAGCTCGGCCCATCTGCGAAGCCACTGGCTGTCTTACCAAGACGTGACAATAGCGTGCAGGGACAGAATCGAGCCTTTGGGCACCTGATTCCCACTTCTCTTTGAAAGTATCCCCAGCTTCTTCATGTCCTGACCCGTGGTCCTTTTGGATAGGCTCCTGAAGTCTCACAGACCCTCTGATATATCCCTGCAGAGTCCCCAGCTTCCAACTTGTGCCTCGTCTCCATCTACTCACTGGCATTTAGAAGTCTATCCCTCCATTAAGAAGACTTTTTCTTGCCTCTCCAGTCGAGAATATAGAGGTAAATGCTTGGTTTATTCTAAACATAAGGCTATATTTGACAGTACTGAATGCAACACTAGTAAAGCCTTACTGCCTTGCACTCATAACCCCATTGTCCCCTCTGGGAATTATTTCCTGAAATTGGAAGAATCTGTATTGGTGTCTTTGTATACTTTTGACTGGGGAAAAAAATTTAAAATAATTGTGTTAGACTAAAAGGGAGAAACAATGTACTAGAACTGTATAAAAACAGCCTATTTTTTAATGTAAATTTAAAATGTAATTTTTAATGTAAATTCAATGTAAATAAAGAGAGTTAACAAGACGGGCTTCTGCAGGCCCCCAGGTCCAACATAAAGGCAGGTTTTTCTTCCTTTGCCTCAATTCTGAAAGTTTGGTCACTTCACACCTGTCTCCATTTCTGAGAAAGTTATTTTTCATCTATATATAGATTTCATTTCATATTTATGCTGTCATGTAGGTTTCAGAAGCACACACTGCTCTGGAAGACACTCTAAGCTGCCTGTGCATTGGCTTTCAAGCATGCTTGGGACTTCAATGTTTTCCCTGCTGAAACTGAGTCATGAGCAGAAAGTCTAGGAGTGGAAGCCTTGATGGAGATTTCAAAGACTCCATTGTGTCTCAAGGCATCTTCGAAGCCTTACAGGAGCTTCATGACATGAATCCAAACATGAATGTTGATATGCACCTAAAGACTTAAGACTTCCCGACAGAGTGAGCAGCTGGAAATGGAAGGGTGCAATTAGATCTCGGTTTCAGCCCTAGGCTGTTTGATCTCAGCTTGATCTAATCTAAGCATCATATCCCAACCACACACACACTCTTTACGACTCAAAGTGTGACAATGTGGATGGGGGCACCTAGAAACTTCAAAACCAATGTTTTCTTTCGTGGATTCACTGAAACTGTGGAGCCACCAACATCCCTAGGATTAAGTGTCTGCTATCATGATACTTTATCTTTTTATTTATTTAGGACTAAATGATATGACATCAGCAAGGAGTGATTTTTCAACAGACATGTTCACCAAAATCTGTGCAGTACATATTCTGCATATTGCACTTTCATGATGAAAATCAATACAAAAATTTGAGAAGTACTTGACTTTTTTGATTGTGACAGGGGTCTCAGTGGACGGCAGTGTCATTCACGGACATCAAAGGACACAAAGGTTTTAAACTTCTATGTATGTCTCATAAGAAATGAGATATATATAATATATGTATAAATTACAAGACTAATGCATACACATGAACCAATCATCGTGGCTGCTTTTCTCACACACTCCTGAGAATGAGGCCCTGCACAGAGCACTTACACATCCCCTGGAAGATTGCAGTGAGTCCCATCGTCTCCATGGATTTGTTTCTCACAATAAAATATGGCAATTATCATGACAGAAGGGAGAAGGCTGGCTGGTACTAAGAGCTAATGAATTCTGCAGTTTGGGTTTATATATGGTAATCTTATCCTAATATTATTAAACTACAGTGATTTCCACAAGCGACCATAAAAATGAATGATTTCAAAGTCTCATGACATTCATAAAGCCATATAAAATCAGAAAAAAAATTTGAATGGAAATCTGAATAGATTCTCTTCAATTGCATATCTCTATGGTGGGCCCATCTTTCTGAGTTTGCCATTTGCTAGGCTAGTCACCTCTGGCAGGGTACTGCTCAGGGATTGCTCATTACACCAAGTTCCACAGTGCTAGGGAGCTGAACATTCAATTATACATCAAATTCAGTCTTATAATTGAGAAGAAAGTAGTTAATTCTCCTTGGTCTCTACCATAAGTCTTCATGTAAACGGGCATTCCAAAAGTCCCCACAACCTCCTATGGTACCTTAAAGAATTCTCTTGGATTCTTTCACCCCAGAACCGCCAGTTTGCTCAGAAAGCTTCCTCTTGACATTTTCCGGGATCCAAGTTCCCTCACTTGGCCCACCCAATTCACATGGTTCTAAGAGAGGAACTCTGACAGCCCACAAATGTCCTTTTTACAGAAAACCTTTATTGACTTCAGCCCAGCAACAGCCTATATAAACAGCCCCTTCTATTGATCCTGTAAGTTGCCACGATACTACATTAGCATTTATTTCTCTGGATACATATTTAAACACTAATTTCTCTTCATCTGGTGATTACCTGGTAATGCTGACTCAGTCCGAACAGCGTATGTCTAGGACAGCCTCAGAAGATTTGGTGAGAACTCCCCTTGGCACATGGAACATGTCTCACAGCCTCGGGCTCATGAATGGTGACCGGAGATCTTGAAACAAGGAGACATACTGGCCTAAGTCACCTCTACCAAATCAGGGATGTCGAGACATGAATTAATTGTCAGAGCAGGAGATCGCGTGAGGGGTTTGTGGGGGGGGGGGTGAGGACCGAGATGTTTAAGATAGGGTCGATCTGGAATCTGGATTAGATAGAGAGATAAACCTTCCAACTCACACAATCACTTAAGTTTAAATCGGAGCAGTGTCAACTCCCCCTAAGAGATTTGGAAAGTGCCCAATAACTTATCTCACCAGTTATTTACTGGTGATTATTTGGGGAAGATTGATTTTTTTTTAAAAAATCACAGCCAGCTCTTGTACAGTTCTCTCCAAAATCACAAAGCAATTAACTCAAACCACAGTAACGTGGTCTTTCTCTGGCATAGTGACTCTTTCTGGCAAGGTTTGAAGTAGCCAGACGCCGCTACACGTCTGAAGATAGTTCTCAGCAAAGGGCTCCGTTTAACCACACCTAGTCTGCATGGCTGTGTGCTCACGGATCTCATCATCTTCTATATTTAGAGAGACGGGCTTTCCAAGGGAAGACGGGCATCCAATAAGGACGATCTCATCTAGAGAGGTGAGTTACTATGGTTACTGCTCAGGAGGCTGAGGACCCGTGAAGGGCTACTCCTGGCCAGATGGACCCTTTCCAGATGAGGACCTAAAACAGAACCCTGCTCTCCATACGTGTTGACTGAATTTAGCGGAGCCTACTCCGTGTCATTTTGTCCGTAACCACAGGCGGCCTTTGGGCGCTCGTTGCCTCCAGCTCTCCAGCCTCAGGCATCCAGGCAAAGCAAAATCAAGGAGGGTGGAAAACTTCTGAGCACTAACCTAACAGTAGTGAGCGGAGGGAGGGGGGAGTCTCGATATCCAGTCCTGGGATTTAAAAATCAAATCAAGTTATTTGAGACCCGTGGCTAGTCACTTTTCAATGACTGGGGGCGGGGTGGGGACGGAGGCCAAGTCCCTAGCCTCCTGTGGTAGGGAACGCATCTTTTTCTGGGCCTCGGGGTTAGATGCCTGGCTGGAGGGGTTCTGGCATACCTTGCCAGGGGTCCACTCACCCGAAGACTGCGTGTGCAACTGTTTCGTAGCTCCTGTTTTTCGCGAAGGTGTCACTCTTCGGACGGGCTCTGACAGCGACAGCAGCGGCAGCAGCGGCGGCGGCGACTGCAGCTCCGCTGGGCGGCCGGCTCCTGCAGATCGGTCCCTCCTTCTCTGAAGCGCCTCTCGCTCCGGCTCAGAACGCGAGGCGGGCGCGCGGCTTTTCTAGGCGCGCATTGGACCAAAGGGAGCAGATGTTATCCGGTTGCTAGGAGCGTTGCTAGGAGGCGATGACGCCCCTCCACCGCTCCGAGCAACTTTCCAGAAGGTCTCGAGCGCCAGAGGGGGCTGCTGAGAGCCTGTCTGGGAGCTTATACCTGGAGCGAAGGCTGGGATCGAAGGGTCCAGCCACTGACTTAGTCCTAAAGAGGGAGCGTTGCAGGCTTGAGCATTGAGAGGAGCCTCGCATCCCAGGAAAGGGTCACTCACTGGAGGACCGTGGGGGTATCCCCATGAAAATTGAATTAGGGGACAGTGGTGGAACTGTGCTTAAAGGTGTGAGCTGAGCTGTGCGGAATTCTTTGGCTCTGGGACTGTCTCCAACTGTGTTCCTGTTCCTATAAGCAGGTTTGAGCAGTTGACGAATTTGGAAGAGGGAAATATTAATCCATGGAACTCAATCTTGAGTTTAATTCCTTTGGGCACCCGATACGGCTGCCTCCTGACAAGGTGTCCAAGATTGGAGGTGGGGGGCACAGACTAGGAGAGGGGGGGCTCACATGGTCTAAAAGTACTTCATTCACACAACTTAGATCCGAGAAGAAAATAAACCCTCGATTAATATGAAATTTTCTGTAAAAAAAAATAAATAATTGCAGAAAAGATATGAAGTTGGAAGAAAGATATAGGGGTTTCCAGGATAGTGGTCCAGGGAGTGGGGAATGAATATGATCAAAATACATTGTATACCTATATTAAATTCTCAAGTGACAAATAAAATGTATATTTTTAAAGGCACCCAAAAGGGTACTTCCTTTTCACAAAGAAAACTGGGAGGAACTATATATGTTTCAGTCATTTTTGCTTTATTTTAATTTCCACAAAGGTTTGCATGCTCTCTGACTTCTGGATAGAACTTTTTTAAATTTGGTTTTTGTTTATGTTCCTAACCATTGCTTCTCATCACCACTGTTGTTAAATAGTGTTATTTTATCTGGGAAAGAAGCTGGTAAGATCCTCTAAGTGGGAACATTTGAGAAGCCAATGAGCAAATTCAAGAAAGGAAGACAAAACACCTAGTAAAGATATTTTGCCCAATGTGCCTCCTTGACAGTAAATTCCCCCTAAGGAAGGAACACAGCATTTCCCTGACTCCCCAGAGAGTCAGGCCAGTGCCAGGATGGAAGTTAGCACCACCTGGGAACCACTTACAAAGAAATACTGTGTTTAGATCCAAGACAGGTCTGCTGCATAGCACTGTGTTAAGTACTATGGTGGTAGCCATCTTCAAAGCCAGTGGGGCTACAGTGTGACCCCACAGCTCAGAGGCCTCCAGTATCTACTTAATGCCTCTGTCAAACTTGGATCTGGGAGTGTGGTTGCCCTGAGGTTTGAGAAGCTGACGAGCTGAGTTGGAACTGGGCAAAGAAGTAATAAGTAGCCAAGGTGGGCTAAAGAGCTAATCATCGTAAAGGTACTTCGAAGGGGACTAAAGGGGGACCTTGAGAGCAGTTCAGATCTCCCAGGCATCCAGCGGTATGTTATGTGGCTGCTTTGCTATTGGCAGCAAGAGGCTAAAAGGGGCTGTCATCTCTTTCCTTCTCCTCTGGCTCTTCCCCTGGGACTCTACCTTTGACCTTTAGCTTCCAGTCACCCTGGACTCTTCTCTACCTTGTATGGAGAAGGTTCCAAGGTCTCCGGGAATATGTGCACGGTGTTTCTTTCTCTTTCATGTGTCTCCCTCTCACCTGGCTTCCTCCCTCCCACCCAGTCTGCAAGTTGCTGCTTAAATACATCCTCCTAGCAGCTTTCCTAATGACAGCCCGAGTCACACTCCCCCAGTCCACCTACAGTACTCACCCTGCCTCACGCTAAGCTAGTTCTCTCAGGATAACAGTGAGTGCCCAATGTTTAGCGCACAGCGCCAGGTGCACGTTAGGGAGCCCCGCTGAGCCTGTGGCCATGATTTCCTGAGCTGGGCAGCTATTAGCTAGTGCCACACACTGGCATGAGGGCAGCCCGGAGTTGCCGTCATTTTCAGCTAGGGGTGTGGGAAGACTTAATGAAGCACTGTATTTATACACTGACTCCATTTCCTTTTCGAGGACCAGTGTCTGGTCTCCGTGAACTGCAGGAAGTTCTCAACCTGGAGTCCCTCTGGTATATTCTTAGCACTCCTCTTCCCAGTCCTCAAAACTGAGTGTGAGTCCTCTGAGTTCATCTGTCTTCTCTTTCCTAAACATGCACCCCCCCCCCAGGCTGGGACAATAGCTCAGTCAATGAAGTGCTTGCCACGAAAGCCCGAGGACCTGAGTTCAATCCCCAGACCCACCTTTAAAAGTGGCGTATGATAGCATATGCTGCCAAGGCAGAGGCAGGCATATCACTGAGGTACACTGCCCGCCCCGTGGGAATGGGGGTACACCTCAGTAGCCAAGCATCTGCCTAGCATGTGTGAGCCTGTAGATTCAGTCTCCAGAACTGAAAACAGACAAACCCCACCCATAATCACATGCTATACCACTACGGAACCAAAGCAGAGAAACCGTTCAGGAGAGCACCGTGGGCACACATATGCAATGTACCTGAACCGACAGGAAACAATGTATCTGAACCAATCAGGAAACAATGTGTCTGAACCAATCAGGAAACAATGTGCCTGAACCAATCAAGAAACAATGTATCTGGATCAATCAGGAAACAATGTGTCTGAACTGACCAGGAAACAATGTATCTGGACCAATCAGGAAACAATGTATCTGAACCGACCAGGAAACCTGGTCCACCGTGTAACCTCTGAGTAATTGCCCCATCTCCCTTTCATGTAGGGTTCCCTTAAAAAAAAAAATAGACATTAGAAAATGCGAAGGAAGGGTCAGGGTGATATCAGGATGACAGAGTGGCCTTGTGACAAGGCCTTGTGACAAATCTAGAAACAGAACAAAGGTATGACTCTTGATCCCTGCAGGCCCATTGATATCTGCAAATATTTGTGTTGGTCTTTGGTGACCGTATCTTGCTGCATATCCCAGGCCAGCTTTGAACTCTAGACCTCCTGCCTCAGCTTTCTGACTGCTGGGGATAACAGGCATAAGCCACCTTGTCCAGACTACAGCAGATGGAACTTCACGCATGCTTCACTCCTGCTCGATTCCTTTTGAGCAACATTTCCAAATCCTCCTGGAGGAATATCCCCAAACACTGTAAGGCCCACACAAAGTTTTGGGGTGTTTATATGATTTGATTCATCGGTCCAATGTTATTGGAGATGGCGAATGTTTTCAAAGTAACTCTACACAAAGCACTACAGGCATCTAAGGCCTGCCAAGATGGGGGAAACAGTCTTCCCTAGGGAGGAGCACAATGATTGGTTATCCAATACCAAAGGGTCAGCCCTGCAAACAGTGACAACATACAGACTGAGCAGGTTGTATGTGTGTATTTAGGAATATATATGTATATACATACATTTATATAACAGCAATTAATGAAAGAACAGGCCACAAATTTGAAAGAGAACAAGGAGCAATATATGGAAAGGAAATTGTGATATCAAAAAAAAGTATAAAAAGAAAAGGGATATTATAAATAAATCATGCTATAGAGTTTTAAAACTACCACATGGGCTAGGAAACACAAGAGAAAACGGATCCATGGTCATAGAAAGGGGTACTATTTCAGCCCTTAAGGATGGGAGAGTCTTAATTGACATGTCAGGAGGCAGCAGTCCTAGAGACTCCAGATGACATATTCTAAACTTAGTTAGACCTCTTTCTTCTGCACTCTACTTACAGCTAAAACTGTACATTTTGGTACCTTCATATACCATCTGTGGTTCACTGTGGCCCATATGGAGGAGCATCCAGCCTTGCCCAGGCTACCAGCTCAGAGCAGTTTGCTCTGGACTTGGAGCCTCATTTCAGCAATGTGCCCACAGCCCTGAAATGCTTGAAATCCAACATGACTTTTGGTGAACAAGCAAATCACTCTAGTCAGCCTATAAGGGGTGCAGCCATAGGTGAGAAGGAACTGGTGGCGGGGGACCGAGCTCAGCACCACAAGGCCTTCAGTTGTGACCACCAGGGACACAACACTGGGAAGAAGCTTGTTTCAGAAGATGGACAAAGGAAAGAGTGCTGGGATGCGAGATGTTGTCTAGAGGGGGTTTGCTATTTTCAGTTCATTTCCCCAGGCATGTAAAACTAAAATTGCAAACCATTTCAAAAGAAAGATTACGTTTTTATTTAGTGTGTGTGTGTGCATATTCACAAACATGCATACCATGTGTGGAGGCCATGGACAGCTTGCTGGAGTTGTCTCTTTCATTCATAATGTGGGTCTAGGTGATCAAACTCCAATCTGTGTGGGCTTCTGCCCCTGCCTTCTTAAACACGGTAGAGTTCTGTGACTGGTCCTGGTCAATTAAGGTTGGGCAGAAGTGTGCCCCCCCCCAGATCAAATTATTTCATTCTCTCTCAGGCCTTTCTCCCCTGCTGTCAAGGCAGTGTGTTCCTTGAGAACACATTATGACATGAAGGTAGCAAACTCTCACACAGAGAGGTCCTCAGAAGAAAGCTGTATGGCCAAAGAATTGGTTCAGACTGTGGCGTTAAAAACCTTTCTCACACAAATATGTCCACATTTAGGGCAAGTGGTATTAATGCCACAACTAACAAAAATTGTGAAAACAAACTGTCCCTGGAGTATTTCTAGAATAGTCTTGCATTTTCATTTGATTTGGAGGATTTGGACTTTGCTTTCATGCTGTGGAGGTACTGGACTGGAACAGCCCCACTCCTTCTCCTTCTTTGAGATCAGTGCATCTGAGCATTGTAAACTAATTAGAAAGGAGTAAACACGGAGGATCGAGATTTCTGGACAAGAGTGTCACTGAAAGGGAATCGCCTCCACTCAGCATGTGAAAACCTGCACTTGCCCTCAGTTTTCCAGACACATTTTAGTAATCCAGGTATTGA